TTTAGATTGAAACTCTATACATTCTAATGTTTTGAAATTAGTTAGTTAATTAATGACCAGCTTTTTTGAGGATTTGTAGAAGGTTACTTTTACTCTGAGTTTTAGGGCTGCTTCAAAGTACTTTTTCTGATCGAGCTCGGACTCGGAGCAAGTCCCGTGCTTCTCCCATTCTTGTTAAGACTGCTCAACAGTTTTTGAGATCTAATGCGATGTCTTGACGTGCCACGATGCGAGGATTATAGTGTCAAGACAAGTTATGACAAGCCATTCCAAGTGCGCAAAACGTCGGCAAAATGCATGCCAGGATATGTCATCGCATGCCAACAACAATGTTTCGGCTTGCGGTTTACCTTCCTCAGCTTTGCCTTGATGACGTCGTTCACTTTCGAAATTCTCCTCCGAATTCTCTCCGATAAATTGGCTCTGTCACTCGTTGATCACGTAAGCAAGGCTCTCTTTCTCTCTTCTCCTGATTTTTTAGTTTCAATGTCCCAAATTTTCCGAGAAAGCAAGCGGAGCATTAGGGTTTATAGAGAGAATGCATGGCGTGGCATGACATGCATTCTGCCGCCAATTTGCGACATTGTCATGTCGTGGCCAACGGCGATGTTCTGGCGTGCCACGATCTGAGGGTTACTGTGTCAAGATAAGTCATGCCAAGTGCGCAAAACGTCGGCAAAATGCATGCCATGACATGTCATCACGTGCCAACAACGATGTTTTGGCGTGCCACGATGTGAGGGTTATTATGTCAAGACAAGTCGTGACATGTATCTTTTATTTGCACAACTTCTTGCCGGTAAAAACACATTTAATATCTGAGCTGAATATTTACACAGTTCTTACTTACCGGTAAGAATACGTTTATTATCTGAGCTGAATATTTACACAGCTTCTTACTTTCCAGTAAGAATACATTTATTATTTGAACTGAATATTTACACTGCTTCTTCTTACCGTTAAAAACACTTCATATATTTCCTAGATTTTTTTTTTTTTTTTTTAAATTACTCCATGCACAGACCAGTTGATCTTTTTTCGTAATATACACAGACCATTGTTAGATTATTACATACACAGACCATTGATTAGGTTGATTCTTGTTTAAATAAACCATTGGTGGTCATATACATAATTATACCTGAGATTTGTCGAAGATGCTGTCGGGATTACAGTTAGAGGGGTTGCCGCCATCCGTGGATTAGTCTTTTAAGTAATTTATAAGATGGAGCGCAAGGCGAGCAACGTACTTTCCAGGCCAATCTTAGAGGAAGTTAGCTGCAGGTTTATACGTGCTAGATCAGGCTTATCGGTGTTGCGTGTAAGTCATTTTTGCTTACGGACACGACTAATGGAGATATGGGCTTGTATTATACCTACCTAAGTAACACATTTTCAAATGAATTCCATTTAGTGTCAAGCCATACTAGATCAGATGGTGTCTGATTGTTTGATTTTTATACTCCTTGTGGAGGAAAATTAGTGTCCGATCAACGGATCATGTGTCTATGAGATGCCACACACCAAATCAACATTCCATTTATTTTGTGTTACTCAAACCCACCAGTAATCACATATTTATAATGAATGTTGGATGCCTCGGTTGTAGACAAAAATTTCTCATAATTATAATCACGTTTGGTGCCTAAGATATGACTCATACATGTCATGTCACGTTTGGTAACGTGACACCATGTCCAGTCCAACCAAACGAACCCTCTGTATATGCTTGGCCATATCATGAAGACCCTTTTATTGAAAATTTTCCGTTTGTGAAAAGGAACTTGCATCAGCGCCACGAAGACGTAGGAAAATCATAAGATAATTTCATGCATATATACGGTTGAAAACGGGAATACATCTAGAATTCAAGATTAGTGAATGATGGATACATGAAGTTTTAGACAAAGCTGATGCAGCTGTGATATCTGAGTCATCTTTCTACATATCTAAAAAGTTGGGAATTCAATCTGTGCACCACACTGTCCATGGGGAAAAACAGGACACTCAATGAGGTCAGAACCAGAAGTGTCCACACACAAGTAAACCTGATAAAGTTGGCTGTTACCAGATTCATCCACATTGCACTCAATAAATGGAGTGAACCCAGTTGCATCTTTCACTGCCTCCGTGATGTTCTGTAGGGTGTATGAGTCCCCATTTGGCTGTATACCTGTAATATGTGATACCATTATATATGTTTAATATGGATCGATGAACACGGAAAGAAATTAGCATCAATAGTATTAGTTACTGACATCAGTGGCACAATATGAGGTGACTACAACTTTTAGCAACTAATAATCGTGTGTAATAGCTATTAGGCATTGGTAATTTAATCAGATTAGTTTGTTAATTCAATTTTTACCTGCACTTTTGAGGGCTTGGAGGAGGTTTATTTTCTTTTTGAGGTTAAGAGCAGCTTCAAAGTAACCGTGTTGGTCGATGACAGACTCTGAGCAGGTGCCATGTTTCTCCCATTCATGTGTCCAGAACGCTATGCCGCTGCTGCTTGGGCAAGCTAATGTTGGCCATTCTTTTTGCATGCTGCTTCTTAGATCTGAAATCTGTGACATCATTTTCCATGATTGAAATAATTCTAATTAGCATTTGGTGGCATCTAAAGGCTGATAACGTTCGTTAATTATCAAGATCTATATGTGTGTGTGTATTGTAATAATTATAAATTCTTCATTTTGTCAAACAACAGAAGATTAAAGTAGTATGAAAAAATAGAATAAAGGATAAAAGGAGCTATAAGGCACATTCCAAGCGATGGGGGCATTAATCGCACAGTTGCACGCAGGGTGTGTGAGATGTGAAACCAAACATCACGCCACAAAACCAAGTTTGAGCGAGATTACCTGGAGTTACTCGTTACATATAATTATGTGTTTATCGTTCTCATAACATGGCAGGTCATGTGAAGTAACTAATCACATAGTGAGAGATAGACACATGATTATACACAATACTTTCACCGTGCTTTTATGCAGGACTTGTTCATTTATCGATCAAGTGCATTTTTGTCCATTGAGGTCTTGACCATTTCTTTACAATTTTAATACTCTTAGGTGCATTTTGACACATTTTTGAAGAAAGAATCGATGAAGTTGATGCCAAAATGACGAAATGTAACAGATTTAGCATTATATGGCCGACCTTAAAATGTAGAAAGAACTAGAAATCGATAATTTTGATGCCAAAACATATAAAACGAGGTCCGTATGGACATTTTAAAGATTATATTAATGCAGCAAATTAGCAATTAGGTACCTCAGATTGATCAAAGGGGTTGCTAGGATCGCAGTTGGAGGGATATGAGCCGTCGTTGTAATTCGGCCAAAGCCCATGAATGCCGAAATCAGCTGCAGGCTTCCCTGTTGTTGGATAGCAGCAACTTGTCTTTGTGTCACAATATGATCCGGGCCACTGCATTACTCCAATAAATAAAATATAAAAAAAAAAAAAAAAAACACGACCATTACAAAATAATCGTAAGAACTAACGACCACATAGGTCAAGGGTTCAATTTCATCCAACGTAACATGAGATAGAACGTCCTGCTAACCTGCTGGACAAAGTAGAAGAAATCAAAATCTTCTGCAACGCAAACAACTGAAAGACATCCCATCAGTAAAAGCTTGACCAAGGTTGGGGGGTTGGACTTCATCTTTCTCACTCACTCACTCTCTCTCTCTCTCTAAATTTCTCTCACTAGGTTACGGCGTTTGACTCTTGAGTTGAGACTGGTTAATTTGAAGACGATGATAGTGTATATGACAGGGAGGTGATGAGCCGTATTTATAGGCAGAAATATGGAAAGGTTGAGGGGCCGAATATCCAGCCTTAATCATACGCTTTAATCTTAATTACCAAATTTATGAGACCACAGCAATGCATTGTTACGTGTGCAACCGTTGCATGATGATTGCTACATTTCGGCTCACCTTTTCTGTAAAAACAAAAGTTTTTCCTTTCATATTTGTGGGATTTTTTTCCTGTCTCATTCATTATCTTCCTTATTTTTTGTTGGTTAAACTAATCAAAATTAGCCATTAATTAATTAAAATCTCAACGAGGGATTCTTCTGTGATTTTGGCAGATTTTTATTTTATTAAACGGATGATTTGAACTATTACAATAACTTATGAGAGGTGGGAAGGGGGGGGGGGTTGGGAACGTTTCTGTAATTTTGGCAGATTGTGTTAAGCTCTTTAGCTAAGGTTTGAAACAGATGTAAACAAGACAATCTGGTGCATAATGTATGTGTTGACTACAAAAATTACAGAACCTACGTGGCGCGCAGGCCGAATAACTAATGAGCTAACTAATGTCCTTCGGTTGAATGCAGGGCGTGCCAACTCGTCGGCCGAGCTCGGCCGAGGAGTAAAATTTGATGCGGTCGTATTGAGCGCGCTGTTGACTTCTGTATCTTGCGATTGCGACCGAGGAAGGAACGCTCTCGGTCTCTGGATTCTATAGCCTGAAGACAAGGCTACTAATTCTACGGAGTTCACAACTCGTCGAAGCCCGATTCAGCCACTGTGATTATATTCGTAAGAGTATAAGCACGCCGAATTGAGACCAAACTATACGGGCACAGGTACTCGAATGTGATATATGTCTTGATGGTAAACGTAGTTCGGCCGTCGGAATGCCGAACCCTGAAACTTACTTGTGAGTATCCAATCATAAACTCACTCGGCCTCCAATGCGCCGAGCAAGGCAATTCGTAACACCCAACTATGCCGAGACGGCTTAGTAAGATGACCTCTACCAACAAAGGTTCGAAAACCTTTCTCGGCCGAGACTTAGATAGATAATCGGTCGACCTCGACGCAGTGCTGTTTATCCAAACTGAAGGTGGGTCTTGGTCGGCTGATTCTGCGGCAGCAGTGCTGTTTATCCAAACTGAAGATGCTCACCGGTTGCTTCCACAGTGCTGTTTATCCAAACTGAAGGTGTGTCGGCGGGAAAAGAAAAGGAAAAATCTCAAGGTGTTTGAGATTATTTGCGCAGGGCAATTGTATGCTGATTGTGGAGTCCCTTTCCATTGCGTAATTTCTTGTATTTATAGCACCTCGCTCCTTGAATCCCATTCTGATCTGGATTGGGAGTCCTTATCCCATTTCACCTTCAACCCTAGTCCTACTGGGATTCTGAATTCTCCTCCTTTTGAGGCTTTATCCCTTGCTGGTCGAGAATCCTGATTGCACCAGGATTTCCTCGACCTTTCCTCACTTATCTGGACTACTTTTAAGATAGGATCTCGACGACCCTGCCAGCTGGTCCGGGTTTCATTATTTGGCCCATCGCATGTCATTACCTTGGGCCGAGCCCGTCTTGCTGCTCGGCCCAATCCCAATATTTTGGGCCCAAACATTGCCCCCTCGCTTCTGAGGTCGCCGGCTGTCACTCTTGGTCGGTTCTCGGCCTTGAAGAAGCGAAAACATTTGTTGCTTTTTGGACCTTACTTCATTAATGACCATTATTCCTGCATATTTATGAGACATGATTGCGCCTCCCTCGTTGCCCCCAACGCGTGGCCACGCGTCAATTTTACGCCGTTCTTAAAAGCTTCAATCATGGGCCTCGAAAACTTGCACAAACTGAATCGCCCTATCTTTATTAATACATTGAACCTGTCTCCGCACGCAATCGTGCGTCCTGGATTTTCGACTCCTCGATTCCACTTTCGCAGGTTCCCAAAAAAAATCCGAAATGATTGCAGACTTTCCCGGTCACATTTCCCCCCAATTTGAACCCACGCCTTTTGAATTCCAGTGTCTTTTGAAATTCAGACGTTTGATCTTTCGTCTGAAAAGCCTATAAATACCCACACTTCACCTAATCATATCTTACGCTTTCAGAAATTCCCAAACTTGCACATTTTAATCACTCTTGCTTATTCAACCCAAACCCTCTAGCTTTCCTTTCTGCAATTTACCAGTTCTTCCAAATTACACTAATGGCTTCCTTCATCGCAAAACTTTCCGAGGAGATCAACAAGTGTAAGGATTTCATCGATCGGAGCGCTATCAAGACGCTGCGATTTGAAGAGGACATGGCCACCACCCACCAGATTCTGGGTCCCCTCTTCAGAGACGCAGTGCCGTCGCCTATCACTGACCTGCTCAAGGAGCAATGCCTAACACCCCTGCTGCAGGGGTTCGATTGGTCGAAGTGGACCCTGGCGCGGCCTCAAGGAGCTTGGCCCTCGACCACTACTGCTTGGGCCGCCTGGGTGGACCGAATGAGGTCATTCTTTGGCGAGGAGTGGAAAACCCTTGGTATCTATGATGCCATCCTGCTCTCGACCATGGAGATTACCATGGACAAGGAACTGCTTATGGCGGCCTTGACTCTTTGGTGTTCGGCCACCAACACTATGGTCCTTCCATTCGGCCCCCTCGGCCCAACGATCCTCGATATTTCGGCAATCCTTGGGACTTCTCCATCCGGCCTCCCAATCGATGCCGCTCTTTCAGGATGCCCCTCCATCCTCGACCTGAAGGCGCTTTTCGACGAGCGGGCCGTCGAAACGCTCAGTCGGGGTGGCCGGGAGCCTTCGAAGGAAGAAGTTCACAAGCTCCACAAAAACTTCTTTAATTATAATACTCTCATCCTCCATTTCGCCGGCCGGGGCGAGGAGAGTCTCAGGAAGGGGGAACATGAAGCCTTCCTCTTCTACTGGTATAACAAGTTTATTTGTTGTACCAGATCGAACAAATGTTTGGTCGAGAATATGCCGGTGGCCCAGGCTCTGGCTAGTGGTCACCTTCTGGCGCTCAGCCCGGCTATTCTTGCCAACCTTTTTCGTTGCTTGGCCGAGACGACCATCAACAAGATTGATCCGCACCAGAATGGGCCCCTCTGGGTCTTTCAACTCTGGCTGCAGGTCTACTTCTCCACTCTTCGGCCTGAAGTCCCTACCTTCCAGCGCTCGGCCGCCCTTGGCCCCCAACTGGCATCTCGACCGGCCCCTCCTCACCGGGCCGACGAGGTTCTGAAGCATTTTTTTGGCCTCGACGTCCTTTCGGATGACGAGTTCTTGGTGTGCCGGCACCAGGAATACCCTGCCTCGATCAGGCTCCCGACGGCAGCCTGGGCCGAGATCGAGGACGCGGGCCTCCGACAGTCTTGGGGGTCAATCGTACTGGCTCGCGACCTTCCCCTGGGTTGCGACGCCCGCCGAGCCAGCTGGGAGGTCTACCATCCTCACTTCGTCGCCCGGCAACTCGGCTACCTCCAAGGTTGCCCGGTTCCTCTGCTCGCTTCCCGTTCCCTCTTGAGCCGGGGGCGCCTTTCTGGTTCTTCCGAGAGGGAATGCCGGTCGACGGAGCAAGAATTCCAGGATCGGTGTAAGAAGTTCCGTCTTCGCCCAACCGTTCCGGAATCCTTGGGCACCGATACCTTTGGGGATTGGTGGGATGCGTACATCTGCGACTTCTTCGGCGCCTCAATCGAAGACGTGGTGAGCAAAGTCTTTGGCGACCGGCCGGGACTAGCACCCTCGACCCAACCTAAGGAGTCGGCTCAAGGTATATTACTGAAACTACTTCGCCATTTCCAAACTTGCCCTTGTTTAACAATTACGTTGCTCTTTCAGGGGGTCGTGGGTCGAAGAAGGCCGAAGTGGTTGCCGCGGCGGCGAGAGTGAAGAAGGTGGTGCCCAAGAAAACCATCGCCACTGAGCGGACAGCACCCTCCAAACGCCTCCACCGAGAGGCCGAGCCGGCGGTTGATGTCCTTCGCCCTTCTAAACGCGTCAAAAAATTGGCGAAGAAGGGCGACCGGGAGATCCATGTCGTCCCCAGTGATGCTACTGGGACGCCTGCCTCTGACGGCTCTCCTGTGCCGGCTACCCCGGCCTCTCCACTCCCGATCCCTCCAGCCGTTCCCCTTCCTGGCGCCACGGCCGATCCAATCGTCGCACCATCTCCAGCTTCGGAGCCGGTCGTGGCGCCTGCAATGGCCAAACCGGCTGCGCCCGTCGATGCACCCTCGACTCCCACGGTCGTTTTGGAGGTAAAACTCTACTTCCACTTGTTTCCTTAGGTTTCGGGTCGTAACGCTAAATGTTCTCTTTTTGTTCAGGATGACGAGAGCGTGAGTAACGAAGTTCCGCTGGAACGCCACCGTCGACCAGTTCATTCTCCTCCCGTCCATTCTCCTCCGGTCGTCGAGGCGACCGCTAGACCACGTCCTTCCGCGGCAGATCGTGGTAAGAGGCCCATGGCCGATCCTGAGGCCACGGCCGAAACGCCGATCCATCCGCAGGACGAAGACCTTCCCATTCCTCCACAGGAAGTCTCTTCGGCCTATGTAAGTCTTCTATTTTTTGTATTAATTTTCCAATGACACGTTCTTAAAAGATTATTAAAATGTCAGGTGCCCGATCATTCATTTCACCGGCAATTTTATGCGCCGAGGGGTGTTATTTATATTTCCTGGCCGCCGTCGTGGCCATCAAATATAGATAACCTCCATCGGCCGCGTGAATTGCGTAGCGGTCTAAGGCACTGGGCTCGGCCATTAAGTTCCCTGGGTTCGAGCAATGACCCAGAGGGCATGGCCGAAGTCTCCTCTCGGCAGGTCTAAAACAATCCCCTTTTCCTTTATGCATTATATCACGACGTCTGTCTTTCCTTCTCACCGATCTTCTTTTATGTGCAGCCGTCGTGGGAAGTAGAGCTTGACGCCCTTCTTCAGAGCACGACCGGTGAGGCTGGTTCTTCTGCTGCTCCAGCCGAATCGGCGGGAACTACGCCTGCCGAGGTCTTCGTGAAGCTGCACGAAGTCTTGTCTCTGACTGCCTCCCAAGCTCTCCGGTGCAAAGGCCTCGACTCCGTTGGAGAGTGTCTAAATGACCTCGCCAGCGGTGGTCATCTAAGCCCGGAGGGTATCTCTTTTCTGACCGACCTCCTGGAGCGGACTCGGCAACACTTCTATGTCCTCGAGCGAGCCCTTCAAGCCGAGGATGACTTGAAGGCTGCCAAGGTCGCGCAAGAGGCCGGCCGAGCTGAGATGGAGGCAATCAAAGCTAAGAAGGCGACGCTGACTGAGTTTGATCGCCAGATATTTGAACTCCAACGTCAAATCTCTGACCTTCAACGACAGAGGTCAGTTGCCGCCGCCGAGCTCGAGAAGGACTTCGAGGCTAGGAAAGCTCGGCTGACGGCCTTCGCTGCCGGTGCACGGCACGTCCAGCAGTTGCAGTGCAACAAGAAAACCAGGCAGGCCGAGATCATTCTGGGCGAAGCGAAGTGGCTAGAGCTAAAAGCTGCCCTTGAGACTTATCTCCCCCCGTCCCCTTAGAAATCTCATTGTATTGTATTTTCTTTTTTTTTTTTTTTTTTTTTTTTTTTTTTTTTTTTTTTTTTTTTTTTTTTTTTGTAATGATTCTTTTGATATCAATACCAATGGTCGTTTTACTATTAATCCGATGGTCGTCTTGCTACAATGGTCTTATTCTTGCATTTCCCATGTAATTGGATAATACTTCTTTAAAAACTTTCCATTAATCGGCAATTTGTGAACTGAACCCGTCCGATCCTTTAAATGATATGCCCCCTTGCCGAGGACTTTGTGAACGACGAATGGCCCTTCCCAATTCGGCGACCACTTCCCAAATCTTGGATCCTTAATCCCAACAGGCAACACAGTTTGCCAAACCAATTCTCCTTCGCCGAACGTTTTTTGTCTTACCCGCTGGTTATACGCTCGTTCGGCAATTTTCTTTTGTGCTACCAATAAGTTACTCGCGTCGACTCGACTTTCTTCTAAATCTTCTAATTCCTGCCGCATCGCTTGACAATATTCAATACTGAACAAGTCACTCTGCTCGATTACTCGTAACGAACTTATACTTAACTCGACCGGTAACATGGCGTCGTGTCCGTAAGTTAACGCATAAGGGGTCGTTCCAGTGGCCGAGCGGGGTGACGTTCGGTATGCCCATAACGCTTCATTTAACTTTAAGTGCCACAACCCAGGTTTCTCTTTTACCATTTTTTCAAGGATGCCAATCAACACTTTATTGCTTGCCTCGGCCTGCCCGTTTGCCTGTGGGTAATACGGCGTAGATTGCTCGAGTCGGATGTTCAAACTTGCTGCGTATTCCTTAAACCTATCAGCCGTGAAGATAGTGCCATTATCAGTTATGATCGTTTCTGGCACGCCGAATCTGGTCACAATATTTTCTTCTACGAAATTGCATACCTCCTTGGCCGTTAATTCGGCGTATGACCTTGCCTCGACCCACTTAGTGAAATAGTCAGTTGCTACCATAATCCACGCGTGTTTTGCTGCCCCCGATGATGGCGTGATTTTGCCAATCACGTCCATTGCCCAACCTCTGAACGGCCATGGTTTGGTGACCGAATGTAGCAATTCGGCCGGGGCTCTCTGTACGTGTCCATGAATTTGGCATGGTACGCATCTCCGTGCGTATTCGATGCAATCCTTTAATATACTGGGCCAAAAGTAACCGTGTCGTCGGAGCAACCAACGCATCTTTCGTCCAGACTGGTGTGCTCCGCAAATTCCTTCATGTACCTCGGCCATTGCTTGGGTAGCCTCGTCTGGGCCTAGGCACAATAGCAGTAACCCATCCTCGCCCTTGCGATATAACTCATTTTGATACGACACGTAATTCGTGGCGAGGACCTTCGTTCTCCGGTCGTGTTTCCCATTGGGATTATCGAGGTATCGTAACATCGTTTTTCTCCAATCATCTGGTTCCACCTCGACGGCGCATATTTCTACGGGGTCTCCTCGTTCTAGTAGGGATGGGAGCGACATTACCCTTGTTCGTATTACGTGTGTGCGCTGGAGGGTTTGCCGATCGATCAAGGCCGGGTACGATTGCAGTCCTGTGGCTGCGACGCGGCCGAGTTTGCCCCCCATGAGTTGTGCTCCGGAGGCGATCTGGGCGAGTTCATCGGCATCGGTGTTGTGGATTCGTGAAATATGTTCAAACGTGATCCGTTCGAAGGACTCGGCCAGGTATGTGGCGACCATGTGATATGGCGCCAAAGTACAACTCATGCAACGAAAAATGCCGTTCAATTGGTTAATCACAAGTTCGGAATCACCGAGGACAAGAACACGGGAAGCCCGTAGATCGTGTAAAACGTGGAGACCGATAATGAGGGCTTCATATTCGGCCTGATTGTTTGTGCAGCTGAAATCCAACTTGAGAGAGAAGTACCATCGGCAGTGGTTGGGCGACTGAATTGCGATGCCGACGCCTGCCGAGGTCGAAGTACTGGATCCATCAAAATGCATAGTCCAATGGTTATCGCGTGTGGTGACTAGTCCGATGTCGACATCGCCCCCTTCAAAACCATATGGGGAAGGGTGCTGAGCCAAGAAATCGGCGAGAGCCTGCCCCTTGACCGCTTTTTGGGGAACGTACTGCAGGCTAAATTCGGATAAGGCGAGTGTCCATTTCCCGATTCGGCCTTTAACGATAGGCCGAGTGAGCATGTAACGAATTACGTCTGTCTGGGCGATGACCTGCGTGACTGATGGGAGCATGTAATGCCGAAGCTTGGATGCGGCAAAAAACAAAGCTAAGCAAAGTTTTTCGACCGGTGAGTAATTGAGCTCTGGTGCATTCAGATTTCGGCTAAGATAAAAGATAGCTTGCTCACGACCGACGTTGTTGTCTTGTGCAAGGAGACAACCAATGGATTCGGCGGCTGCCGAAATGTATAATTTGAGGGGTTTAGTGCGACAAGGTGGAACCAGCACGGGTGGGGTCGAAAGGGCCACCTTGATCTGCGTGAATGCACTCTGATGTTCTTCGCGCCAAACAAATTTATCGGTATCCTTAAGTTTGAGGAGAGTAGAGAATGCCTTCATTTTACCGGCCGAATTAGCGATGAAACGGCGGAGGAAGTTGATCTGCCCGAGTAACGACTGCAACTGTTTCTTTGTTGTGGGAGGTGGCGCGCTAATGATGGCGCGGGCTTTATTGGCGTCGACTTCGATGCCGCGATGGTGCACCAAAAACCCTAGGAAATTACCGGCCGAAACACCGAAAGCACACTTGGATGGGTTCATCTTGAGGCTGTTCTTGCGCATGCGAAGGAACGCTTGTCGTAGGTCATCCAGGTGTGTTTGGCGGCGTTTCGACTTTACCACCACATCGTCGATATAAACTTCGACGATGGTCCCAATTAAGTCGTGGAAAATCATATTCATGGCTCGTTGGTATGTGGCGCCGGCATTCTTGAGGCCGAATGGCATGACTACCCATTCGTACGTGCCTAGTGCCCCTGGGCAACGGAAAGCCGTTTTGTGGACGTCGGCTTCGGCGATGAAAATCTGGTTGTATCCCGCATGACCGTCCATAAAAGATAGTAATTCATGATTAGCTGCGGCATCAATGAGTAAATCCGACATTGGCATTGTATATGCGTCCTTGGGAGTCGCCAGATTCAGGTTACGGAAATCGGTGCAAATGCGGAGGGCACCGTTTTTCTTCAACACTGGGACGATATTGGCCAACCATTCGACGTAGCGAGCGGTCCTAATAAATCCGGCCTTGAGAAGCCGAACCAATTCTTCCTTAATGCCGAGTTGTAACTCGGTCGAGAATCGGCGAGGGGGTTGTCGAAAAGGCTTACAACCGTCTCTGATGCGTAGTTCATGCTCGACCAAGTTTCGATCGAGGCCTGGCATTTCATGGTAACTCCACGCAAAGCAATCTTTAAATTCCTGGAGTAACTTACGGAGTTCGGCCTTCATGGCCGGTGGGAGTAACGCGCTTATAAACAATATGCGAGGATCATCGGCCGTGCCTACGTTAACTTCCTCTAATGGGTCCTTGACTTGAGGCCGATGGTCCTCGAGTTCGGCCGGGGCAGCCCGAACTTTCTCGAGAGACAAAACAGGGCCGTCATCTGCTTCGGCCAAAAATTCAATTAAATTAATGCCAGAATGCGGTTGCTTGGTAATGGCGTACCAATGGGCCAGCAGACGTTCCATTGTTGACGAAACCGCGGCCTGACGCTGTTCTTGTTTGGTGTGCTCAATCATCGGCATTGGGGACCAAATCTGCCAATCCAAGTCTCGCCGAATCCTGTTGGACAGTCTCGGCGCCGACCGCAATCACTTTCTGCACTGAAATTCGCGTCGGCCGCCCATCCTCGTTAAGACCTTGGAGGGTGATGTAGCCGACGTGATCATCATAATAGCGAGCCTGAATCATGTTGGTCTCAAATGGTTGATTATCGGCTGGATGGATGGTAACCGATTTGCCATCCCAGAAGATGAGAACTTGGTACAATGATGAAGGAATGCAACTGGTTTGGTGGATCCAGTCTCGACCAAGTAATGCGTTATAATCGGTCTTGGAATCAATTATGAAGAATGCCGTCATGTGTTGACGACCGGCAATGCTAACCTCCAATGGTAACACTCCTTTGGTCTGAGACTTGTCACCAATGAAGCTGCTCATAGTGATCCCTGACGGAATGAGCTCATTATCAGAACGGCGCAAAGCCTTCATGACAGATATTGGCATAATGTTGACTGTGGCCCCACAGTCGACAAACACTTTGGAAATGGGGAATCCTTCGATGTGAGCCGTGATGTACAACGGCTTCAGGTGTTGGAGATTAACCGAAGGGGAACGAGGAAATAGCTCGGCCAATGCCGCCTTAAGGTTGTCCGTGCTTCGGGTTTCTCGGTCGTCATCGTTTGCGATGAAATCGACTTGTGTCGCCTCCTCGGCGACCACATCCCCGTCCAAGAAATTCGACTGGGGTGTACTTGGTTGGAATTCGGCTGGTAACACGTGGACCATACTGATCTCCATTTGTTCGAGAACCGAAGGACCCATTGGATCGTGGTCGTCGTCTTCTGCCGAACTAGCCACAGTATCAGTCGGCGGAACATCCTCGATCAAGCTTTCAAGTGCCTCGGTAAGAGCCGGTACCCGAGACATGGGAACCGAGTCGAATGTGGTGTGGCTATTTTCCTCGACCATGTTGACTGTTGAAGATTTATGTTGGTCCTTTGTTATACGGGCCCGTTCTTCATAGGCAATGCGGGCGTTCCTAGTGTCGAGATATGTATCCAACCTTGCTATCCGTTTTTCTTCGTCGGCCGTGAGGCCGAAGAGTGATACCGCCGAGAAAACTTCGAAATGATAGCGCAAATGCTGAAGGTCATCGAGCGAGAAAGGTAATTCGGCGGTGTCGATATCTGTATAAGGATCAACATCAAAACCAAGTACCCGAGCTTCCCGTATATGCTGGAACCTTGCCTTAATTGCTGGGTCGGAGGTTTTCTGAATGATTTGCTCGGCATCAGGGCAAGTGAGAGCTA